TTATCTCATATCCTAATTCTTCTCAAAATGTTCTCAATCGGTCTAAACTAATTTTCAACATTTCAACCAACCACTTGCAGTCTAATAGATTTACCCATCTGAAGCGGCGTGTTGCACTGGGTTACTTCAATTTGCGTCAGGCCATTATGGGCGAAGAGAGTACACAAAAGAGAAAGCAGAATGCATAAAAGGCGGATTACCTCCAAATGGCTGTCGTGCCTGGCCCAGCTTAACTGGCCCCCGGTACCCGGACCCATGAGTGGGTGGCAACGGCCGCATCCAGCTTGTCTGGGCTTGACTCGACGTAGACCTCTGTCCTGGAGCCCTTTCACTCGGTCTCCACTGGCCGTATCCGAGGGCATCTGCTGGCAACCGAGCTTCTGGTCCCTCTGCGGCTGGCGGCCGTGGACCCCTATGCTCGTAGGTGGCAGTTGCTCCGGGACCGTAGTAGAGCTGAGGGTACTGCTGGTATTGGTAGGGAGGGTAGGGCTGACGAGGCTGAGAATAGGCGCCACGGTCGGCGGATATTCCTCGCCAAGTTCGAATGCGGTAGACATCATGTGGAGCAGTCTGCAATCCGCTTGTCTGCCTCGCCTGGACCGGATGATGACTGTAGGGTGGCTCTGATCCGAAACAATAGCCCTCGTCCTCTGACAGGCTGCTGTCTCGTGTGATGTCTATGAGAAAGAGAAAGAGATATTATATCTGGCGTCAGTAGAGCTCACTTTTAATGAAATTGCAGGCAGTGAATCTGCCCATTTGCAACTAGAACTTAAGGGCGAACATTAAAACGTGTTAGATAGTGGTTATTTTCAACCAGTTAATACATTTCAAAGGGCTTATTGCATCCATTTCAGCCAAAATCTCGTTTAAAATTCTGATCACTTGTTGGCCTGATACCTCTGCGTTTCCTACCTGCCGGATACTAGCTACACGTGGGCCTTAAACCACCAAGGATGACTTGAGTTCACATTTAAGATCTGCTGGTGGTATCGAAAACTACTAATTGTGGATATAAGTAGTGTCGTCGATTGCACTAGAAGAATCATGTTGGTTCCATTGGCAATCTTGCTATAAATGTGATATGGGAGAGGCCCGTGACCCGTTGGCATGCACCATGTGGCTTAGTGTCGAAATTTTTTATTTATCCAGGGATGCTAAAAATATCAGAACGATATCGCAACTGTTGTTCAGATGGGATGAAAAAACGACTTGGAAAGCAAGTCGGAGTGAAATCTAATTGCCTTAAGAGGCTTATTTTATGTGAATGTGAGAAAAACTCAAGTATGGATCCTTAAATCTTTCATGAAACTAGGCACTTACTCAAGAACTATCAATAGTTTCGAAGCATACTCACAATATAAATCAAATCTACATTTGCAGCCTCTTAATGACTTTGATTACGTTGCATTGAAGACGCTGCGATCAAGTTGCGAAAATAAGCTCGAATCGACACTAAAAGAATTATCCGGTTCATTAAAGCCTATAATGTCCAGAAAGACATACATGCTAGTTAGACAAATGCATTAAAACTGTGTAGATTCGTGTAGTAACCCGTTTTTATCTATATCATGGCGCCCTGGGTTTGAGTTCCGCAGGCAATGAAGAAGATTTAGGCTAGCCTAACTCTGTAATGTAGCATGCAAAAGAGTGCCCTCTGTGAGGACTCGAAACAGCCATCTTCGGTGAAAAGGAAATTTTTTCTTTTATTCCTCCTCTATACATCATCTTTCCAACTTTGAAAAGAAATCAGCCACTTATGAGCCTCTACGATTTCTATATTAAATTCTGTATCCTACTTTATCCTTTTTGATAAGCAGAGATAGGTGTCTATGATCTCAAATCCCATCCAACTTGGATATCCCGTTTACCATTTTTACCACAGTTTAAGGGCAAAAATGAAAGAGAGCTTGAACTAATGACTTTTCCCTTCAAGGACGTGCAAGACATCATGTTATTAGTCAGTTAAATCGACATGAATTCTCTAGAGTTTGCTGATGGATAAAGAGAACTTCATCAAATAATTGAATATATGAAGACCAAGATGTTGTGGCCTCTGGTGTGTTCGTAGTCTCCTTTCAATCGATAGAAGTTGG